GCAGCCGAGGCGACTGCGGCTGTCGTACAGCCCACTAATCCTCTCCGCACCCCTCCAGCCAACTCCCCAAACCTTTTTCATTTTTCAAAAGGCTCTTAAAAACTACCCAACTACCCACCCTCCTTCCAACGCCGCCGCCGCCGCCGTTGCCGTTCCCACTCCCGTTGACGGCCGTAGCCCCCGCTCCCGCTCCTACTCCCGCTCCCGCCGCCGCCGCCACCGCCGCCGCCAGCGCGGGCCCTATGTAGCCCGGTACGTGGGAGTCCAGTGGCCGCTGCACCAGTGACGCCAGGGAGGGCGCCAGCTGGGCCGCCGGCACTATGATCATCAGCTCCAGGGGGGGAGGAACATCTGCTGATCCAGGGAGGGAACGGGAGGGGGAAGAAGGGGGAAGACGTACCACAAACGAATGAAGCTGCTGCCAGGGCAAGAGTGTACCAGACGTAGAACTGACCGAAAGGGGGAGGGAGAGGATGAAGGAAAGGGAGGGGAAGGAGGTTAGACAGCAGCGGTTAGAATGAAGAAGTCTGCCTCCTCAAAGCTGTCAGGATAGTGAAGACTGTATTACACGAGTTAAGGATTTTGGCCGCGTGAGGCGCGAATTCACCCACCATTGCTAACTATCTGACATTGCGGCACCGTTGCTACAGGGTGTACGTATGTACGTATGTACATGATGTCAATTACTGATGCCTTGCAGAGTCTAGGCGCTGGTCTCACCCGGGGGCGGCTCGTCGTCCCCGCTGCCTGTTGCCGTACTTCGGCTCCTCAAAACGCCCAAAACGGAACCGCCGTTGACGGCGCCGCTGCCATTGAAGCTGTCGCCGCCACCCTGTGCCGCTGACCCGGAGGACACGCCCAAGCCGCTGCTGCTGCCGCTGCCTCCACCGCCGCCGACGCCGTTGGTGCCCATGGCGGAACGCAGGCGGCTGCCCACCTGCCGTACTTCAGGTTGGCCTGCAGTGACAATGTTGGGAAGTGACGTGACGGCGGCAGAGCTGCTGCCGCCGCCGCCGCGGCTCGCCGCCGCCATCGAGTACGGCGACGACGACCGCCGCGCGGCGGCAGCAGCCGCCGCCGAAATAGTATTGCCGTGAAAGGTCGACCGGCGCGGCCAGCCTCCACCTCCGCCAACTCCACCTCCGCCGCCGCCGCTGCTGCCGCACAGCAGTACAGTCTCCCGCCGACGGCCCGGCAGCAGCAGCCCACGCAGGACCTTAGAATCCAACGCCACGCTGCGCAGTACACCGTCGACGATATCCATCCCCAGCCTGCTGTCCCTGCACCAACTACTGCAACTACTACTGTTGCTGCTACAGCCACCGCCACCGCCGCCGCCGCCGCCGGCGGGTACTGATAAAAACATGTTAAGGGCGGCTGCACCGCCGCGGGATGACGTGCTGGGACTGTTGCCCGAGCCGCCGCCGCCGCCATTGTACGAGCCGGAGGGCCGCAGTAGCAGCGAGTCGGCGGCCGCCGCTGCAGCATTCAGCGGTCGCGATGAGGGGGAGCATGGCAGCAGCAGCTGCTGCTGCTGCTGCTGTGGTGGTGGTGGTGGTGGTGAGCCCCCGTCAACGGAGGGCAGGGACGGGGGGGCTGAGACAGTGATAGAAATCTTAGGGCGGACCTGGATGTGGGGGGAGGCGAGAGAGGGAGAATTACTTGATGTCAAGTAAAAAACAAAGGGAAAAACAATAGCTGCCGGCGTCCAAAGGCGGGCGGGGGGCGGGAGGGGATCAAAACCGAGGTTCTCGGTATTTTTTTGATGGAGGGGGGGGAGATGTGTGTTTCAATAATCTGAGCCGCGAGTGAAATTGCGTGTGTGTATGCGGGAGGGGTGCCAAGGGCCGCTCGGGCGGGTCGATGGGTGCGCGAGTGCGGGGTGGTGGGGTTCGTGCTGTTGTGGATTGGGGAGATTTGCCCGGTTGGGTTTAAGTGTAGCGGAGATAGGCCCTAAGGCTATCTCCTACATACCTGCCATAACAAAAACACGAATACAGCACTTCCTTCACATGGCCCAGTTCAATATGAGCTCAGAAACATACATAGATACATACATACATACACACAAACACGCCCCCCATCTTGTGGACGGTGTAGGGCGTGATTATATCAACTTGCGAGCTGACCAGGAATTAAGTTGAGGCGCCGTTGATCCGCTAGATTTGGTTGGATGCTCGTGGTGAGTTGCTGAACCCAACGAATACACTCTGAAGTCGGATGGGGTGAATGGATTAGGGTGCCCCTCTAGCAGGGGAGAGCAGGGAACTGCCTCCAAGGGAAAGGGGGCCGCTGGTGAAGCTATACCACCCTGTAACAACATACACGCATACACACACATACATACATACACATACATATGTACGATGCACCCCCCCTATCTCAGCTTTGTCGGTATATCTCGTTGCGTCGGTCGGCTAGTCGGACTAGGATAGTCGGGTCGGTCGGGTCGGTTGCGCATTTTTTTGGGGGTTGGAAGGAGCACTTGCATATCACCAGCTTTTTACCACCAGCTAATCCGCCAGTTCTTGGCCAAACCTCGTCAATGCCGCCGCCAGGCCGGCGGCAAACTTTATTCCAGCTTCACGTCAGCAGTTTTTTTTATTACTTTTCCGCCGCCTCTACACCTACCTTTACTTCTTTAGGGCTTGGCATTACTGCTTTTCTTCCGCGCTTATTTAGTCTTGGCGGCTAGGTAGGTAGTTTTCCAACATCTTCTTCACTACGTCATCCCGAGGTCGCCGCACTTCAAGAACGCCTTTTGGTCAGTTCTATGTCTGGTACACTCTTGCCCTGGCAGCACCTTCACTCGTTCACGTGGTTCGTCTTTCCCCCCTATCCCCCCTGTCCCCCCTTTCCCCCCTATCCCACCTGTCGCGCATGGTACACCACAGCCGCCATGCGAGTGTTCTCTTCGACACCTGTCACATTTTGCAACCGTCACAACCGTCACAACCGCAATCACCAGCGCCACATGCAAGAGGTCGCGTGAGGTTGGGGGCGGGAGGAGATCAAAACCGTGCAAATATCACATACACACACAGATTAATGAACACACATACATACATACATACACCAAAGAAAAGCACGACCATCCAACAATGTAATGCCGATTGAGGTTGGTCAGGGGATGTAGGGTGACAAACAAGTACGACACCAAGAGCCCCCCCGGGGCGGCAGTCTTCCTTCCCCCCAAACCCCCCGGGGCCCCCACCCGTCTTCGTAACCCCCACAGCCCAACGACACCCCCGACCACCCGCATACACGGGCACCCCTACCTGGAGGGGCGCCGCATTCGAGTCGCCAGCGGCCAGGACCGACCCCTCCTCCAGCCCCCTCTTGTCACCACCGGTTGAGAGGTCCTCCCCCCCCAAACCCCTGCCCTGCCGCCCACCCATACACAGATACGGCCGACCCGTGCAGCAGATGTGCAGGATCACCACAATCATTATTAATCGTTCGTGTTTGCCAGTTGACCTTTCGCTTCATGCATACATACTCCCCACTCCCGGGCCCCACTCCCACCTCCCACTCCCGGGCCCCACTCCCACCTCCCACTCCCGGGCCCCACTCCCACCTCCCACTCCCGGGCCCCACTCCCACCTCCCACTCCCGGGCCCCACTCCCACCTCCCACTCCCGGGCCCCACTCCCACCCACCCGCTGCCCTCATGGCTACCAAGTACCGGTCCGCCGCCTCCACAAGCTGGCCCCTGCCCAGCGCCTCCGCAGCCGCCCGCAGGTCAGTTGCGGTCCAGGGGAGGAGGTGCTGGGGGTCCAACAAGTAGTCTACTGCGTCGCACTGCAGAGGGGGAGAGAGGGGGTAGCAGAGAGATTTGCATGCATCTGTGTGGAAGGATGGACCATCGGTCTGAACATCACGCACATAAGGCGTGCATCCATATGTACATGCGTAAAGCTACATCCAATATACCCAGTAGGCTCCTCTTAACATCCTCTCTACCTTTTCCTTCCTTTCCTCCCTCTCCCCTCCTGTTCGCTCGCTCGCCCCGCGTCCATCTCCCCCCTCCCTCTACGCCCCTCTCTTCCTCCTCCCTCCCTCTCCCCCCTTCCCTCTCCCCCCCTTTTCCCTCTCCCCTCCTTTTCCCTCTCCCCCCTCCCTCTTCCTCCCCCCCTTCCCTCTTCCCCCTCACCAGCCCGCGCGCCCCGACCTCCTCCGCCAGCCGCCTCAGCTCCGGCAGCCCCTCCCAGGACACCTCACAACAGTCCCGGTACAGGAAGGAGAGCAGCGAGGAGGCCAGCTGCCACGGCCAGTGAAGCCTTCAACGGCGACCCGCGTGTGTGCGTGGTGTGTGTGGGGAAGAACAATGTGTGTGTATGTGGGAGGAGAGCAACGAGTGTGTATGGGAAGGGAGGGAGGAATCATATGAGGCAAGAAGCAAAGGATTAAGCGCCAAGGTCCAAAGACGCAGCCTCATGGTGCCCAAGGAACGGCACAGTCAGTGGGGACACGGACACAGACCAGCGGCATCTCCTCTCGCCTCTCTCTCTCTCTCTTCCCCCTCCCCCCCGGGCAGGAGTGATGAGGAGCGCTCCTTTCTACCTTGCCCCCCCGCCCTTATCCTGCCTCCCGGATGGATTACGTAGCCTTGTTGTGCTCAGGTACTCAGGCAATACACTTTCCACAACTTGCAGGGTTCCGGACGTACAACACCTGGTGTACACGTTCGTACAGTCGTCGGTACCTACGGATCATGGGTTTGTTCTCCAGTTCCCCCTGGTTGCTGCTTCCGAACCAGGTCCCGCGGCCCTGTCGCTGAACTCTGGAAAGCTGGCGGGGTCGGCGAGCAGCCGGGCAAAGTAGCCGCCGGGGTTGCGGGAGCGGAGCACGTCTCGGTGCGCCGGCAGCGCGCGGGCGTAGTTGCCGTCATCGCCGACGAGGAGGACGAGGTCGCAGGTGGCTGCATCGAAGAGCAGCTGTTCTGGGGCCCGCCCTGCGTAGGGCGCGGAGATGAGGGCGCCCAAGCCGGCGAGGCCGGTGTTGCCAGCCGCTCCTGTGAAGCTGCTGTAGAGGGCGCTGGCGGACTGAGACGGGGTGCGGTTGGGCAGGGGGCTGTCGCGGGGGGGGGAGAGGGAAAGGATGCGCAGGTCAGGAAGTAAACGGGAGGGGTGTTGGGAGGGGGTCGTTGGGAGTCAAAAGGATGGCTTGAAAGAAAAGGGCTGGTGGTGCGTTGAGCGGCGGCGTGCAATGGAGACCGTAACCGGCCGAGTTTTTGGCGTAAAATTACAGGGTAGCAAGGGTTGCGGCTTGACGAAGCGCCAGGCGTGCTATGAACGGTTCGGTCGGCCACCAAAGCATGCCTGTTGGCCGTCTGTCGACGCTCGGCAGGAAACAATGCCGCAAGGGCTCGCTTATTTAATCAAGTTGTGCGCCTTATAACGAAGGAAGTTAGTGCGTAGGTAACCCTAGCAGAACGAGTTCATGGCGTGGCAAATTCGGGTGAGTAAATGAGCCGGAGGCCGCCCCTTAGGGTTGTTGAGTTTAGTAGGAAGCAAGCATTACTAAAATGTTCAAGCAATTTTAGCAGCTTCTAGAATCCTGCCTGCCTGAAGCACCGCGAAACTTGCCTCTCATTATCGTGTCGGGCATTCCCCTTGCTAGCACTCTGTTTCAAAAGTCCAGAAAGGAACAACTTATCCATTAATATGATGATGAGATTATTCCAAGTGAAACTGGTAACATGTCTTTCAGGTGGAGGTGTCAATACGCAGCAAGCCTAATCACGCGCGATATAACATCCTTGTCGACTTGTCAATGTCAAGTTGATAGTCAAAAGTCAGGAAACATACGACCTATAGGATTTGCATTTAGTAAAAATGTTTTTATGGGTGCCGTACACGTTCGACTGTGCTCTTTTGATTGCTGTGAGACCTTAGTAGATTTTAGATATTCGTGTTCATCCATCACTATTCCACTCTGTTCTTACTCAGCTTGCAACATTTGCCGCTGCAAGGAAAGCCTTGTTTACCGAGTCTTTGCGGGCGACGGGGGTGTTATCAAAGTCATCCTGGCAAGCGTGTAGCTGCATCATCAGTCAACCTGCAATCAATACGTATATATTTTATCATATTAAACGCTGTCAGATGGGGTTCTTTTCGCGCCACTCCAATGTTTATTTGTATGTGCCAAATTTGATAGGTACGAGTGTTGTTGAGGCTTGCATATTTACGGTGCTCAGCGTCATTACAGCCATTAGCAACTTGCTACTTGAACGCCTGCCTCAGGGTACGCCCGCGTGGCTGCGGCCATCTACGCGTTTGCCGTAGCTTTCACCAGCCCATACCAATGCGTCGCTGCATACTTTTTGAGTTTTGTATGTGACGAGCTGGATGGTCGGTTTGCGCGGATGCTGAACCAGACATCCACTCTGGGCGCCGTGCTGGACATGGTCACCGACAGGCAAGTTCCCCCTTAGCATGTGACCCTTCCACGTCCATTACAACTTAGGGCAATTCCAGTTTCTCCTCCGGCTCTGATAATCCCAACGACGTGCCTTGGTAACAGCGCTTCAGTAATGCCCCCTCCCACCACCCTCCCAAAATCCGCGGTTCTTTCAACCCCCCCGCTTCCCCCCAATACCTTCTCGTGCCCTTCATACGACGCTGGTGCGCCTTGAATCCCGCACCACGCCACTATGACGTGGTCCTCTTGATTTGGCTTTTATCCTGATATTCTCCTTCCTTTGCAACCTTGTCTCTGTCCCTTTCCTCCACAGCTTTTATGCCCCTTCCCCCGCCATTGCTTTTTCCCCTCTCCCGTCCCCTTGCTTTTCCCCTCCCCCTCCCTTCTCTCTCTCTCTCTCTTGCCCCTCATTCCTCCTGCCTCTCCATCCTACTTTGCCCCTCTCCGCTGGCTCTTCTGCGTCAACCTCCGCCACCCGCTCTCGCCATAGACTGGCCACCACGGGGTTGCTGCTGGTGGTGACGATGGTGTACCCGCAGCTGCACGTGGTGACCATCTGCCTGATCTTCCTGGACGTCTTTAGCCACTGGTTCCAAATGTACGCCTCCCTGGCCGTGGGGGCAACCACACACAAGGTGTGCGTGGGATCCTTGTGCTTGCCAAAAGGTGCACAGCTTAATTGCTTGCTTGCTCGGTTGGTTGCTTGCGGGAATGACCCCGGAAGGAACCTGGTGGGGTTATTGTGTGTGGGATGCTACGGGGTCATTGCGGAGTTTTGGGGACTTGGTGTTTTGGGGGCTCTGGGAGGACGGAGGGAGGGAGGGGGAGTTGGGGTATTCCTGGTAATTCCTGGTTCCTTAGGCAAGAGGGGGCGAACGGGGGCGGGTGGGTGGGGTGGGGGGAAAGAGCCTCTTCAGGTCAGGCGGCAGGGGGGGGCCCCCACCCGGGCCGGTGCCTTGGAAGTCGGCCACTGTATCTTTGGGATCTGCAGCATGTAGCTCTCCCACCACCGGAGACGTGGGCTGAAGAGACCCGCACATGGGGAGGGATTGCTAGGAGGAGTTGGAGGTTCCGTTCACGACTAGCAAAACCCAGATCAGATCCTGATCTCGGCAGCTGTGACTTGGTTGAGGAATCGTGTTGGGGATCGGGTGGATTGGCATATGGGAGGTTTTAAAGGCGTCCTGCGTCGGGCGACAATGTCTTGAGCGAGTTGTTTTGCTGGGAGAGCGTGGAGATGTTGTAGACGTACCTGCAACGGCTGGAAAAGCCACAAATAGATAGAACATAAGGAAGGCCTTATCCGCGTTCCTTCAGTCATCATGTGCTCAGGGGCCCCCTCACCTCCCGGGAGTCTTACCTGTCCGCCAGTACTGCCAACCCAACCCAACCCAACCCCACTTTATCCCCTCTACTGCCACCTGGTGGCAAATGCTCAGGAGCAAATGCTCAGGAGCAAATGCTCAGGAGCAAATGCTCAGGAGCAAATGCTCAGGAGCAAATGCTCAGGAGCGTTTTTGCAATACACTCCCGTCGTTCTGCCGCCCGCATCCGCATCGTACCGTATCCACCGGCCGGCTCGGTCTGGCCTTCTGAGTCCTCGTTTTACCACACAAACAGCCTCTGATTCTTCCTTCTCCCTTACCCGACCCTCCGATCCGGTCCTCTTCTGTCCTGTGTTCTGTCCAGGACGTCAAGAGCAAGAGCTGGCTGGTCCGCACCTACTACGGCAACCGGCTTTTCATGGGGTACTGCTGTGTCAGCTGCGAAGTGCTGTATCTAGTGGTGAGAAAAGTGGTCTTGTCATGGGGGAGAATGGGGTTTGGGAGGGAAGGAGAAGGTGGAGGCTCGAGTCGACTTGTTTTGAGCGAACATAACAACGAGGCCTTACGATAGGTAGCCGCGAAATCTCGATGCACAGCATCTCGAGCGGCTTATCAACGCCGTTGTTGTAGAGTAGATGGAGAGGGAAGGGCGGTAGGGAGGGGAGCACGGGGGTCGAGAGGCGTTGGGGTTCAGGAGTTAAGAAGAAGGTCAAGAATAGGGCTGACAGGACCAGGGGGCTGTATCGAGCCTTTATTATACATACATACATACATACATACATACATACATACATACATACATACATACATACATACATACATACATGAGTGTCCGTCGCCCCGCCCGGCGATAACACCTCTACCCTATTACCTTTGTCGGCCGCCTAACATCCCCCTTCCTCCATTTCCTCCGCAGAAATTGACTTCTTTCCTCGTTTCTCCCCTGCCTACCTATCTACCTAGCCACCTACCTAGCCACCTACCTGCCTACCTAGATTCCCATCCCTAACTACCTACTTACCTACCTACCTACCTGCCTGCCTACCTGCCTGCCGCGCTACCTCGGGTCCGCAGGTCTACGCCTCCACGTGGCCCGAGCTGATGCGGTTGGTGGTGCCGCTGCCTGCCGGCGCCCGTCTGGCGCTGCCAGCCAAGGTGGCGGAGCTGGCACCGGGTGAGGACAGGCTGTGCGGGAGGAGGAGGAGGAGGGAGAGAGGGAGCGAGGGAGGTAGCAGGGGGCCCGAGGATGTTGGAACCCGGGCGATGTCAGGGGGTACTCATGCGCAAGAAGCATAATGCCCAAACGACTGGCGATGGCAGGGTCGGGTACGGAGGCAGGGGGGAGGGAGAGGGCAGGTTTGGCCTCCGCACAAGGAGAGAGCTGGAGGGGGGAAGGTGCGGGGGAAGCGAGGAGGGAGGGAGAGGAAAGATCGATAACATGAACGGAGTCGGGAACGCAGGTTTCGTATCGCTGCTTTCTGACCTACAACCCATATTGGTGCGTCGAAACCCCTTTTCCCTCTCGCTTCCCGCGACCTTTCCCCCACCGGCCCCGTCCGCGCAGTGCTGCTCCGCTTCACTAGCGAGTCAGGGGGGTTGCCGCTGATGACCCTGTTTGGGCTTTTGGCGCTGCCGGGCTTTCTCACAAAACAGGTGTGTGTGTCTGTGTGTGTGTGTGCGCGCGTGTGTGTGTGTGTGCGTGTGTGTGTGTATGTGTGTGTGTGTGTGCGAGTTGATGTGTGCTGTAGTGATTAGGGATGCGGATAAGGACTGGCCGAGATGGCACATGAGCAATTTTACCGAAGGAAGCAGTCCAGTGTGCGTGTGTGTGTATACGTATGCGTGTTTACATTTCCTGTTATTTCGCATGTTTTTCCTTTAACGCGTTCGCATTTTGTTTATATTACGGAAGCCGCTAAACAGCAATCGCGTAATAACGACTGAAGGTGTTTGGGGTCCATAGTGGATATGTATTTATATACCATATGTATGTATGTATGTATGTATGTGAGTGCACTGGTTAGCATGTGCCAGTGCGCATCCGCTCGGCGTGTCTCCATCGCTTGAATCTGTCTGTCCACTGTGTTCGTGCGCGGTAAGGTAAAGAGGGCTTGGTGGGGAGGCCCCCCACAGTGCTGGCATGATGTCATCCGTCACGTCAATTTCGTGAGAGCTACGGAGCTCTCTCTCTCTCTCTCCCTCCTTCCTTTCGCCGGCCGTTCCGGGCATAGCGTTGCCCTCCTGAACCCTGTGACCGACCCCCTCTACCCCCTAAATCTAATTGCTAACCTGCCTGCCTGCCTGCCTACCTATCTGTCTACGTATGCCTATGTACCTGTGCATCCTTGTGCATAGCTTTGTAACTGGGTGCAGCTGCGGACCGCAGCCGACCAGTTGATCGCCTTTGACCTGAACAAACAGCAACGAAAGGGTCGGTAATGTGAGAGGGTTTTGGGCGTACAAGGGGGGAGAGCGGGTACAGTACGACAACGGGGTGACATCCATCTGGAATGTTAGCCGCAGTGGCGGTGGGGTGTGTGTGTGTGTGCCTGTGGTGATGGGTGGTATGCTGGTGGGGGATGGCATACATATATATGGGCGCGAACATGCACGACGATGGGCGGTTTTGCTGCTGGTGGGGCGGTTGGGACGGCGGAGGGTTCCTCAGGCTGGTTTTCACGTAGTCATGCCTTTGCTGGGTTCTTTTCTTTCGTCCAATGCATGCTCCTTTTACATGCAAAGAGATGCGCCTTATTTTAGGCCCACCGCGGCCGGTGGCAGTGGCACGGATGGTGGCGGGCAAGGTTGGCAAGGGTTATGGCCGCTGACGCCCTGTGTTAGTAGTGCGGCCAATTTTAGTGCGGCCGCCGGCGAGTGTGAGGCCGTGGGGCGTGTTGCCAGCCGGCGGGGCGTAAGCTGAGTGGTTGGCGGGGAGTGAAGAGATAAACGGATTGTGGCTATCGCGGCGACGGTAGTGATGGTGGTGGTAGTGGTTATGGTGGTGGTGATAAATCACTTACCACCGCTACGACCACCGAGCAGGTATTGTTTCGGACCAGGTCGTCAGACTACGTAGCCGGGACAAGTGGTCGCTACTGCGGTCGTCGCCCGTTGGTGGACTAGTAAAACCGACTGAAGGTTCTTTGCAACTGAGATTGACGACCGACCAACAGTCTAGGCTCTGGAACGCACCGATCGACGGATGTATATATGTATGGGACAGTCGGAGACGATATTGAAGACAGCATCGTGAGCGCAGCCGCCTGTGTTCCAGATGAATGCAGTCATTCTGTATGATGTCAAACATGACGTTTTTGCGGCTGCGAGGATGGAGGGACTGATCCCATAGTTGCCGACACTGCAAGCAACGCGATATGGCCCTAGGTATGCTCGTATGCGGCGGCGGCGATGCACGGATTGATGCACACCAACAACCTTCATGTTTTGTTGTGCACAGCTTTTTTTTTTGCGAAAACGAGCTTTCCGATGCCGGCAGAGGTGCTGCGCGCAGAATCACGTCGGACCTCCGCACCGCCCTTGGACATAGTTTTGTGCACGCCGTCTGTGTGCACATGTCTTCAAGATGTATAAAACTATACACACACTTTCTTTGTTTACCTGCAATATCACTCTGTATACTCGGTGCTTCCAGTTGCAAGTGCCCAAAGGCCCCTGTGCCTTTGGGAACTCCTTTCGTCACTTCGCCTTATGATGATGAGGTCGTTTCGACATCGGAGTTGACCGCCGTTTGTTGCTGCAGTTTAAATGTGGTACGTTTAGGACAACAGTCTATGGTATTTTGCCATGCAGTTTTGAATTTCTGACCCAGGGCCTTACACACCGCCGTCCGCTGACGAATTTTTCAGACCTCATGCTCGCCACATCGCTATACTCATATACCAGCGCGCGCGCAATGACCAACTAGAACGTAAACATCACACGTCCCTTGTGCACCCATGAAAGGGTCAGCTGTATGCGAAAAGTCCTGCCAAAGCCTGCAGAAATCAGAACGGAAATCTTCATAACTTCATGTCACCTACCTTTTCGTAGCCTGCCTACTCACGGTGCCCCCCAGTTCCTGCTCTTGATCACATATTGTGCGAGGCTAGAAGGCAAAGCATATGCGAAAATAGTCTGCCCCAGTCATCTTCAGTACTTCAAATGGCTTTGTACACTTGACGCTCCGCGACGTGCGGTACTTAAAAATCGCCTGCACCTGCTGCTCCTGCTTACCCCCGGCCGCGCCCGCAATTGTACCTCAAATACCGGTTGCGCAGAAGCAGCCGTCCCGCCTTCCGCCGTACTGCCTGCCCTGTTGCGTGCTTCCCCGCAAACGGTTCTTGCGTTGCAAGAAGCAATACAGCTTTTCCTGGAGAGCTACAACAGGGTCTCCAATGGCACCATGACAGCAACATACCCCCATGGATGGTATAGCAACTACGGCGAAATTAGGTGACACGCCGCGGCCTCCAGCCCGCACTGACCTCCAGCCACACCCATACGTACCGCGCATCCCAAGGTATAAAATCCATTACCATCTTTTTCCACGACAAAACACTCTTCTCCTCCTCCTCTCGTCGCCGCCGCCGCCGCTGCACTTTAGAAAGGACGTTGCCCGCATCAACACTGCGGATTGCGTTCCAGAACCTTGATAAGGAGGTCGAGGAGACTATTCCCTGACGATTACCGTCTTGTTGTCTCCCAACCCGAGGACATCCAGGAACACCTCTACAACACCAAAAGCGTCGCCGGCGCTATCACCGCGCGGCGGCAGCGACGGCATTTTCCAAAAGCACAGCTCAACCACACACCGGCTGGCACAACTTTCCTCTGATTTCCAAACAAGGCCGGTCGTTTGACATCTAACTGAACAACGGAACGGCAACTAAGACAACCAAGCTAAACCCTACTGAAAATATCCTGAATACACCTTCCGCTCGCTCAACGCTCACAATCACTCTCCCGCTCCCTCTCCCTGCCAGATTCGCAAAGACAACCGAGTACAGAGCGCGGGAAGCTCGCGAATAATACACAAAGCGCGGGAAGCTCGCGAACCGGCCTGGCATTGTCCTGGAGCTCCTAACCGCTCAACCAATGTAACCTACATCGTACATGCCGTACACCGCCCACGAAAGACAGGAGTCAAGCGGTCAAAAACACGGCGATGGCGTCCTTACAGAAAGAGAGCAATTCTCTTTCACACCAATATCCCCACCTCAATGGCAGTCACTGGATATTAGTAGAGCTGGTCCGGAAAAACACGATTGTCTTTCCTCCGCGTGAAGCTCACCAATTTCTCTCAGATGCTTAATCTTCTTCTTTCTTCGTTGTTCTTCGGCCTTCTTCTACATACACAAAGGCGACGTCCGGTACGGTCACGGCGCAAGACGTCTGCGTGCGTGCGTGTGTGCGTGGGAACACGAAAAATACGAGCTAACAGCTGTACTGTAAAAGCTCTCGGCATAGCCAAGAGGCGAGCAGCGACCAATGTACGACATGACTGCGGGTACTGCTGGTCATTGCGAGGCAGCAAGCTCGCAGGGGATGGACCTCCGCTCGGCTGCTCGGCTACCACCCACCATGCATCACCCAGGTACACGCAGATACAACAGTCCGGCACTCCACTACACATACGCACACACATACTCACACATACACACACACACACACACAAGGGTTAACCGGTCCTGCTCCTGACGTACGTATGACCGCGCAGGAAGTTTTAGACTTCACATGCACAGCAAAAAAACAAATCTATCAAATCTTCGTTCATCCCCCTCCTTCCCCAGCAGTCGCACCTTCCCCCTTCTGGAGTCCTCTGCTTTAAACGCCCTCCCCCCAGCAGAGGCTATTTCTTGGATCGACAAGACAAGCCTCAAATAGCAGCTTCAACAGCAACATTGGTACTTCCTCGTCGAGCATACCGAGCGGCTAGACGCCGGATCCCGAGCACACAAACACATCAGCCCTTCCGCCAACACCGGCCTCCACAATCCCGACCCGCACCGCCCCGGCCTTCAAATCAACGTTGCACGAACCACCGGGTCAGAAACCGCCGTCACCGTCACCGCCGCCGCCGCAGCGGCAGCAGCAGCCGTTGCCGCCGCCGTCTCCTCCACGACAGCGCCGTTGCCATTGCCATTACTGTTGCCGACGTTGACAGGGCTTCCGCCGCCGCCGCCGCCGCCCCCACCACCGGGCCCGCTGGACCGCCTGCTGCTGCTACTGCCATTGTTGATACTGCGCCTGACAGCTGCTAGGTGAGGCCGGGCTCGCTCCCGGGCAGCCTCCATGTGCTCCTCAAACGAACCCAAATCAAAGAAGTTGGCTCCGGAGCGAGGTGACTTCACGACCACAATATGGGACTCGCCTGCCAGGTGAAGCAGTAAAAAACACGGTAGCCATGAAACCAACAAACGGGAAGGATTGGGATACAGCTGTGATGACGGATTAGACGAAATTCCTATCCGGCAACAGCAACAGCAGCTAGCGAACAGGAGCGTTTTAAGGACACTCATCAAAAGGAGGCAACCCCTGGCGAAAGCTTCCTAGCCCACTTCCTAGACATCCTCAATATCAAACTCCTGTTAATCGCTCCAGCCCCAATGAAACACCCATGCACCCCGAGGGAGCTCTTTCAGGCCCCGTCCTCTCCCCCTCTCCCACCGTCCCTTCAGTAGCGTCTTCATCCCCTAACAGCCTGCCCTCATGCAAAACCCCAAAGCCACTCCTTTCCCATCCACCCCGATTTACAACTCACCCATCGCGGTTGTATCATCCAGCCCGCTAAACGGGGAGCTCCGGTCAATGACATGGACCAGGCAGGGAGGTGGCGGACGGGGGGCAGTGGACCCGTTGGTGGCCTGTTGACCCGCGGGAGGTGAGACAGGTTGAGGTGAGGTGGGGACCAAATGAAGGCTGTGAACGCAAAGAGCGGTCGGGAAATCGACGACGATTATGGGGAAGGACTGGGTTGCGGGCACATGGCCCCGGCAGTGGCGACGTTGAGCAGCCACAACCCCAAAAATGCACGGACAGATTTATGCGCGTTAGAACCCGATCCCGCTCAATGTTGAGCACCAATCTGCCTTCTTCCTCCTCCTGCCTTCTTCTTCCTCCTAGCAGGACCATATTTCGACCGCTTGAGCTCGCCTACAATTAAAGCCCAACACGGCCTCACGGCGTCCTCCCCGCTCCGGCGCCCCCTCCCTCTGAACCTCCCGACCCCGACCTACTCGGAGCTGCGACCGCCGCCGCTCCCTCCACGCCCGTAGCCCCACTCGGTCCACCACTCCGCCGTCCTTGAAGGGGCCGTAGAGGGACAGGTGGCCTGCGTGCGTTTCCGAGGGAGGGTGTTGAGACACGGGCCCAGGAGCTCCTCCTTTAGGGGCAGTGTTACAGGGGGTAGTTCGGGGGGTTGGGGTAAGGTGGGAAGAGTGTACCCAGGCCCGTATCCAAGGGGCCCGAGGGACGGGACAAGAGTGATGATGAAACGGCGGCGAGCATAGCGAGGAAACACAGGACGGCTTCTTGAAGAAGGCGAGGATGATGCAGTCGGCGCTGCAGCAGCGGGTGGAGGAGTTGCAGAGGACCGTGTTAAGGATTGGGACCTCCCCGCGGGTGGCGTGGAACCACAGGGACAGATGCGAGGTGGGAAAGAATGCGTCTCCCTTCAACAGCAAAACCCCCCCGGGGGGGGGATCTAACCCCCCTTTCCTCTGCCCAAACCAACAGGTACCATCCCGGTGCAGCTCTTAGCTCGGTCCAGTCGAAATCCCGGAACTACATTTTACACCCCGCCTTCTCCTTCTTCTCTTTCGATACGATAGTTTCATTCAAGGCTTTCATTAAAGGCCACCGGCACCGCACAACCTTTGATGCCCTTAGCACCGCAATTCTTTTACCACTGTTCCAGTACATCACCCGATCAGCCCCCTCCCACTGCCCGCCAGGGCGGATGCCAGGGTGAAAGCCCTACAAAACTCTCCTCACATTCACTGTGATCCAGAGTCCCCAACCGCTGCGGAAAAGCTCCAAAACAAACTCTTCTGCTCCTTCTTCCCAACCCTCGAGCTCCTGCCACCCGCCACCCGCCCTGCCTCACTCCTGCTATCCTGCTCGTGCTCCACACACCCCCTCGCGCGCCCCTTTCATCCTCCCTTAGGCCCCATTATTACGTCCCTCTCCAGCACCTCCCGTCTGATTTACAAACGGACAGATTGTCCTGGCCCATCCAATCGTCCACACAACCTTCCTGAAGCCCCGAAGCACGACGCGACTAGCCGATCCGAATCCAAGCCCCTTTCCCCCCAGCGCCCCCCGCACCTGGTACGTCCACGGGTTGGAACACAAAGGGGATGGCGGCGGATGCCGCCACCGCCTCGGGCAGTGACCCGCTGTCGATGATAAGGTGCCTCCCGTCCGCAGTCACCACCCCCACCGCAAACTCCCGCTCCAACTCCTCAAACCTGAAGAAGAAGAAGAAGAAGAAGAAGAAGAAGAAGGAGAAGAAGAAGAGCAAAGCGGCCCAAATAAGCACATCCAAAAAACTCTTCGACGTGCAGACGATGCGAATGATGATGCCTGCAGGCGCTGATGATGATGATGATGATGATGATGATGTACTGATTGTGAGAGGTGTAGAGTGTGTGGTTCGGATCCTTGCAATCTTTACACGTACTCCCCAATCCACCTCCTTTCTCATCCCCCTCGTCATCCCGCCGTTTTCCCCTCTTCTCGCCCCGTAATCTATGTTCCCGGGCCCCCGCTGTCACCCGGGGAAGGAGAGGAGCCCAAATTGGCTTACGTGGGCGGCAGTAGGTCTCTTAGTCGGGAGATGACCCCGTCCAGGCTGAGGGCCCCGCCCCGCCAGGGGGCCGCCGAAGGGCGCAGCAGGGAGGCGGGGGTGTGTTCCGACAAGTGCTTGGCCACCTGAGGACGGGACGAGAGACGAGAGGCGAGGATAGAACACGCGACGCCGGCAAATACAGATACTTAGGATAACACGATGCGAGTTTTAGAGGTCCAACGGTTTTTTCAGATGTGCAGGGCAAGGGAGGTGGTAAGCTCAAGGAATAAGACCGACAGATTTGAGGCAAGGGAAAACACGTGGGCGGACGTGTGTATGGGGGAGGAGATAACAGAGAGAGGACGAAAAGGGCTTGCCAGCCGGCACTCATGCGCTCCTGTCCCCCTTCACCCACCCACATAGCCACCCACAACCTCATTTACACATGCGAAATCCCGCTCCCCCGAAAGCTATTCCACCCTGCGACAGGACGGGATGCCATGGAGGAGCTCCTCGTAGCTCCTGGTACTCCTGGACACAACTCAACCTCTTCCCCCCCACCCCGCCTCCTCTTCTCCCAACACCCCGCCTCCTCCTCCTCCTCCTCGACCCATTCCAATTAGCGCGAGCACAGTCTCTCACTGTAGGACCGTTGCACGTTGCACCATCGGAGACCGTCAGAGGTCAGTCCTTCGGCCTAGGATGCGACGAAGCCAGCTTCAGTATTGCCTCATCCCAACCCCTCGCTCCCGCTTTCCTTGACCTCCCCCTTCCTAAACCCCTCTCCAACTATTGACGCCCCGTAGCCCTAGCGGGGCCAGCGCGACCCACCTGTCTTGGCGAGTACCCGGCGCAGTAGAGGCTGCCCGCCAGAGCGCCCGCAGAGGTGCCCATCACTCCACCCACGGGTAATCCCAGCTGGGCCGTCCAATGGGTTTCGCGCAGCGTGGGATGGTTTGCAGGTTCAGGAATCGACGGCAATGGGCAGGACGATGCGGGTAGCCCGCGGGATACGTGAGCAGAGAAACGTGTTATAATGCAATGCATGGAAGACTATGTTGTTGCTAGCAGGGAAACGCGGGGGAGGGGCGGCAGCACCCAACGAATCCCGTCTTTTTTCCTTTTGCTGCAGCATGCGGCGTCGCATGTGGGTCTCTTCTGATCTCGGCATGCGGCAGCGGTGCATGTGGTGTAGCCGAGTGTATGGCGCACGTGTTAGGCCGGTTCGGCCAGGGGAAGCGGCCTGTTGGAGCCGCAGGTCGACTTATGACAGCAAGGCAAATAGGTAGGCACGCGTGACGAGACTGAGCCATGTGATGCAACGGAACGCACAAGAAACAATGCCAAAGGGGAACGCTGCAGGTCCAAGGGCCAGGAGAGCTCAGGGATGTATGCCGGACAAGCCTATTCGCGTTGACCGGACCATAAACAACATGCTTGGATCAATCTGAATATACCAGGCTTCGTAACAAGTCGCGGCTTACCTCCTCCACTGCCTGCAGAAAGCCCGCGTGCCCGGCAAATGCCAAGAAACCACTGGACAGAACCAAGTCACAGGCATCACTAGTAGGGCCTGCGACAAATAAGTCAGAATAATAGGGCGCGTGGTAGCGTAGCTATGTCAAGACAAGCAGCGCTGCACGACGCATAACGCTCGATCGTCCATTTGGCGCCACTCAACCCTGCCCACAAACCACCCGGCAGCCTTAATTAAAAAACGCATAGCACCATAATCGACCACAGACAAGGCTATTACCATACCTATCGCGCGCCCCATATCCGCGAGCTGGCGAAGTCTCACCTGCCATCCGCGCAGTATGCGTTCGCACGGCTTTTGCTACGGCCTCGTCAGGCGCCTGGAGCCGACGAGTATGATTGGGACAGCATTTTTGACAAAGGAGGTGCGGCTGACCATTAAGGGTCCCGCTTGCCACACTTCTCGGCGCCTGCAGAGGCGCACGCATTCTGTGCTGCGATGAAGCCTGGCTCTCAGCTCAGTGGAAAATGCCTTCACGCAGCAAACGAACAAGTATAATATGTTTAACTCGGTATGAAACGTTGTATGAGAAGATACTGGAACAGCAGGAAGATAATTGCATGCAAATAAAAATTGTATAGATACAACGACTCACTAGCACTAAATTGCACAACCATACATTGTTCTCTGATGGCACGAACTGTATCAACCCAAGGCTATAAATTGTGACTTCGGAGCGATGCATTTCATCTTAGAAAGCCGCAAGCATGCTGTTATTATAATTGAAAACATAGGCTAATACATGCTTTCGGTGATTGCCAATCGGTGAATGGTAGACTTTGGAGGCGTAATTGAAATGACTGGTAAACGAGGCGCCGGCGAGTTCAGCAAGCACATGCTTCGCTTCCGACAACGGCTTATGTTAACGCTTCATGTTCCACACGGACATGTTCAACGCTCATATCGCAATGCCCGCCCCAGGGGTCCAAGGGCGCCTGGACAAAACCGACGCCTAGAGTCCTACGTTAAATGGTAGCATGCGGATTAGTTCTATCAGGTATTGTGTTGTATCTTTAGGGCCTGCATGCAAAGCTATTTCCAGGCTTCGGGCTACGCGTGCTGGGCAGGATATGTCGACGGGTGTTCTAGGGCTACGCCAAAATTCCACTTCGGAAGCATGCACCTTTCTCCTATCTTTTTTTAAATGGATTGTTACAGGTGGTGACTTGGGAGGTAAGCAAGCGCCTGTCGGTTCCACAGAACACTAATAATAAACGTGTGGGACATCTTCAAACCCCAAAGGTGATTGCTGAAGATAAAGAAAGCATTCTAGGTCACTTAAGCAGCTGAGGCAAAACCTGCGGGACAAATGCAAGTCCCTACCAAGCACGTGCGCTCCGTGCTGGACGGTACTGCTACCACTGCACTACGCAGGCATGACTCTCATGAAAACCGTTCTGGCATTTTTCTCGAGCAGCTTGTGGGGTGCGTAAATGTAACAGATCATCCCCTGTATCAGCGAAAGGGAGCGAATCGGCACACATACGTAGGCACTGACCAAACACACGCAGGTGTACTACCCCTAAGTTTTTTTCGTTTCCCAGGGGAACATCTATCCAGCTATTTATCTGTCTCATGGCCTGTAGTGGACACTTTTACCGTAATGGTTACGTGACCAATATAGGAAACACATACATGCAGCAGGCTCACAAGCACCTGCTAAAACCAAAGAAGCGATGTACGCATGTGCGATGCAGGTCAAGACGCGCGTGTGAGAACAGAGCTGCCGACCTGCAGCAGCCGGCACATAGCCGCACATGACTTGATGATTCAGCGTTCAGCAATATGCTCGTCCTCCTTGCAGGTCCTTCGAAGCACATGAATTGGGAAATGTTTCCACCCCCGGAATGCCCAACGGATTGGTGAACTTCTGTAAAACCGCTTAGTAGTCCCGTGCTCCTTGGGTAGACTTGGAAAGTTTCACTTGCCATTTTAGAGAAAATGCTTGTTGCCGAAAAAGGGTCTTTGAGGTGTCGTCCTTTTCTTCACCATGCATTCTGTGACATAAGGCATCACCCCGGGCAGAAAATGGAACCGCAACATGCATCATGGGGCATTCATGAACTTGTTTCATGCACACTGGAGCCCCATATTCGATATGTGTGAATTAGTATTGTAATGATAATTGTAGGGATAGGGTCGATTGGGGGCAACCTGTGTCTGAACACTGCACTACATGCATGCTGAAGGTCACTGCCCCAAACAGGCACATGAAACAACTGTACCACACATTGTTCGACATTGCTATCCTTGGGGTCATACCGGGTCATTTGTGTAGGTATATGGCACTATGTGTATTAACTTCAAGCAAGCTTGGTGATGTGCTTGTTAATTCGCCTGTCATGGCTGTAGCTGAATGGAGGAACCTCAATCACATGCAATGACCCTCCTCTCCGATGTATTGGTGTCTTACACATTTCCATGTTTGAACCGTGAAACCTTCACAATCGCCAGTAACTGCCATGCAACGACTGATATGCTGCCCTGTTGCCCTCCCTATGGCATAAAACGAGGGGTAACCCCCCCTTAAGCATAACCCAGGGGTTAGGGTAGGGGTAAGGGTAGGGGTAAGTGGTTACCCATGTGGCTATGTACGAAGGGGGGTGGGTAACCTAACCCCGGGGTAGGGGTAACCCCTTACCAAGGGGTAACAAAGGGGTAGGGGTAACCCCTTACCAAGGGGTAACAAAGGGGTCGGGGTAATATTGTACTGAGGGGTAACAGACAGGGTAACCCGTGTTACAAGTGTTCCTTGTCCGTATGCCGGGCCATATGCTGGTGTCAATGGATTGTAAGCATGTCCCTGTCCAACCTGCCTACACATGCTATCACAGCTGTCTCATCCATCTATGTGAGCACGTATGCCTATTTCGCCTATGTAAAAAAATATTTGCATGCCTCTCTATACACTTCCATCCATGCATATGCCTGTATCAAGCTCACATGTCTACACATACAAACATACATGTTCACCAAACACTTCGAGTGTACAATTGTAAAGATTGCCTCACCAACACAAGCCTTGCAGGGCTGTAGAGCCCGCCCATGGCCCCAGGCTCGGGGTGTGTATAAACTCGCTAATTACACCAACGAATGCAAATTCTGCATGCACGTTTTCATGCTTTTAAGGAGAGCTGCTTCGACCTCCTTCCATGCCGTGCTGATCCTCTTTAGGGATAGGAGGTTGCCCTTGCCGATGGTCTTGATATGGCACAGTACAGTCATCCAGTGCGTTATGATGGTCTTGATATGAATCGGTGTCGTAGCAGGGGTGTCGTTCCGGGGTGCCAGGCCCTCGCTGATGTCGGTCCAAAGAATGCCCGCCTTGATAACCCTGAATGCGAGGGCAGAAGTACGGCCGTCATGGGGAGAAAAGCAGGGAAGGGAAGAGCGGCAGGCCTGCCCTAGGGCACACGTCCGGAATGTGACATGCCACTTAGATTTGCCTACTGCAACAAAGCTCCATGTGAACTCACTCGGTTGCCGCGAGGACATTGAACTTGCTGGCATCACTCTGTGAGTTCATGGGCTTGAAGAGTGCCGGGCTGCTTACCTAATGCGCGACTTCGACTTATTGCTCCGACAACAGGCTGTCAAGCACGCGCTTGCAGTCGATGGGCGGCAATTTAAGAACGGCCAGAAGCTTAAGTGCCCCCTCGCGACCTGCTATGTCCAGCTCTGAGCGGATCACATCTGAAATACTCCCCACATTCTCCTCATTTTAAATGCACGCTCTCCTAAGAGTGTCTAGGGTCTTCGGTGGGAGCTCCGGATGTTTGACCCCAAACGCGGTCACACCTGGTGAAGCGTAAGGCGCCCTTCCAGGCAGATTCTCGGGCGTCATTGGAAGTCTTGCAGAATTAGGTGCACCATAAGCTCGGGCCTGTGCTGCAGGAAGACGGTCAACGGTGTTCTGGTGGTGGTCGACCCGCGCCACCAGGCCAGCATTTTCACCGCCATATGCACCACTATTCCATGGAGTATTGTAAATGTTCGTTGTGTGCATAGTTTATGTGAACAATTGTGGCAGTGAATACGATCGACCGAGTTGTCGATATTGGTCCCCTGTCCGATTCGGTGCACCAGCCGCTGGGAATTACCGCCGGTTGCCAGCCGGCAACCCTACATTTGACAGGCCCGTACCTGTGGTGCGCCGTGATGTGCCAGGCATGGAACAGTCACCCATGCAGTCCCTGCATTCCTCGAAGTCCATGCAGTCCCAACCATCCTGCAATCCGACTTAGCTGACAACCGGGTGAGCTTGGTGGTGAAATGTGTGAAGTTGTCGTGGTACATGTGCATGCTTAGGGGAAGAAGGCGGCAGGGGAAGAAGGCGGCGGGGAAGAAGGCGGCATGGAAGGAGGCGGCAGGGGAGGAGGGGGAAGGGGATAGAGGCGGCAGGGAAGGAGCCGGAAGGGGAGGAGGGGGAAGGGGATAGAGGCGACAGGGAAGGAGGCGGAAGGGGAGGAGGGGGAAGGGGATAGAGGCGGCGGGGAAGGAGGCGGAAGAGGAGGAGGCGGAAGGGGATGAAGGCGGCGGGGAAGAAGGCAGCAGGGGAGGAAGGCGGCGGGGATAAAGGCGGCAGGGGAGGAGCGGCAAGGGATAGAGGCGGCAGGGGATGAAGGCGGCGGGGAAGAAGGCGGCAGGTGAGGAAGGCGGCGGGGAAGAAGGCGGCAGGGGAGGAAGGCGGCGGGGAAGAAGGCGGCAGGGGAGGAAGGCGGCGGTGGATAAATGCGGAAGTTGTCGAGGTAGCAGGTGAATGCTTAGGGGAAGAAGGCGGCAGGGGATGAAGGCGGCGGGGAAGAAGGCGGCATGGGAGGAGGCGGCAGGGGAGGAGGCGGAAGGGGATGAGAGGCGGCAGGGAAGGAGGCGGCAGGTGAGGAAGGGGGCGGGGAAGAAGGCGGCAGGGGAGGAAGGCGGCAGGGAAGAAGGCGGCAGGGGAGGAAGGCGGCAGGGGATAAAGGCGGCAGGGGAGGAGGCGGCAGGGGATGAAGGCGGCGGGGAAGAAGGCGGCAGGGGAGGAGCGGCAGGGGATGGAGGCGGCAGGGGAGGAGCGGCAGGGGAGGAAGCGGCAGGGGATGAAGGCGGCGGGGAAGAAGGCGGCAGGGGAGGAAGGCGGCGGGGAAGAAGGCGGCAGGTGAGGAAGGCAGCGGGGAAGAAGGCGGCAGGGGAGGAAGGCGGCAGGGAAGAAGGCGGCAGGGGAGGAAGGCGGCGGGGATAAAGCGGCAGGGGAGGAGGCGGCAGGGGATGAAGGCGGCGGGGAAGAAGGCGGCAGGGGAGGAAGGCGGCAGGGGATAAAGGCGGCAGGGGAGGAGCGGCAGGGGAGGAAGCGGCAGGGGATGAAGGCGGCGGGGAAGAAGGCGGCAGGGGAGGAAGGCGGCGGGGAAGAAGGCGGCAGGGGAGGAAGGCGGCGGGGAAGAAGGCCGCAGGGGAGGAAGGCGGCGGGGATAAAGGCGGCAGGGGAGGAGGCGGCAGGGGATGAAGGCTGCGGGGAAGAAGGCGGCAGGGGAAGAAGGCGGCGGGGAAGAAGGCGGCAGGGGAGGAGCGGCAGGGGATAGAGGCGGCAGGGGAAGAAGGCGGCAGGGGATAGAGGCGGCAGGGGAAGAAGGTGGCAGGG